GGGTGGTTCTCCCGATGTCTGCAAGCCAAGAGTGGAGGCAGGGAACTCTTGCACTTTCCCAACCTGCGCTTGGCTCTCCCAATTTACTTGACACGACGCGCGCGTTACAAACATTTGGCGCCTGCCAGCAGGATGCAGTTGATCAGGGCGGAGCACTAGACTAAACCGTTTTAAATAAAGATTGGATCACAGATCAGAGGCAAAGAAGATGGTAATGATTTGTAATGATTCTTCCAATCGCTCCATGACAACAACAACAACAACAACAACGAGAGATAGTGTGTTTGCGCAGGTTGGCACTCCCTATGATTGCTCTCAGTTTTAGTAGACATGTCTAGCCTAGCCTTAGCCCCATTGTCACAGTGTCATTTTATTTCTTTGATTTGCTAGCCAGACTAGACACATCTAGACATCCTCCACCACAGTTGGTGTATTTTTCCACGCCTCCAAACAACAACTTACTTTGCTTTGTACGAGACTTGCCTCGTGACATGTGGCACTGCGACTTGCCAGAATCTTGGAATATTAATCCATAGTCTAGAGAGTCGAGTCTATAGTCTATAACTTACGTCAGCAACACTGTGTGATTTGGTTGTGATCGGGTGCCTGTTATGGGTGAAGACACCCCCCCAATTCGGCAAGACACCTGGCGCAGGTCGCTATGGCAGAAGGTGCTGGCGCAGCAAAAGCTACAGGCGTCTGCGGGGCTGAGTGTGCAGCAGGCGCAGGACATGATCAAGGGCATCAACACACTGCTCGAAATAGAGGAGAGCCCCGACTTGGAGGCTGAAGATTGTCCCATTGCGAAGCAGATGTCCTCACTGCAGCAGCTGCCTGTCCTCATGGGTGAGCTGAAAGCTGCCCATTCTGTTGCAGGAGCAGAGCGGGTGGCACAGGAGCTCATATCATGCCTGGAGAAGCTACATGGCTGGGTGGACACAGTTGTGTGCCCGGATTTCAGCACGGCTCTGGACGAGGTGACCCAGCTTGCGGACGCGCATTTGGAAGGGCTTGACGACTCGAAGGCCTTGACAGAGTGTGCTGAGGAATTTAGCAACATCGCCCCCGCACCACTGCCGGACTTGGCCTCCCTCATGGACAAAGCATTTCAGCTGAAGTGTGGCTTGGCACCTTTTGGCACTTTTTTTGAGCGCAGGTGACATTGGTAGTGAGGTTGATTGGTAACTATCAGATTGGGATTGCAAACTGACTCTCGGCCCAGATTGTTGACAAAGAGTGTCTTGCGCCAACTTGCTGCATGCTTTCCAAACCCGTTTCGTTGGACTTCAAAAGCCCAGTGTCACGGCGAACTCCCGTCTGCAAGTTTTTATATGCTCGTTGCTCGTTGTTGGTTTTGACGGGTGTTGATCGGGGGATAGTAGGGGCAGCAAGACAGGCCCAGATCCCCACATTGAACCCACGCAAGCAGTTGCTCCGTGCCTGTGTTCAGGCTTTGTCATGCAGCACGTGCCCACTGCGAAGTCTGACCGGCTCACGCAGCAGGCAGCTGCAACAATTGTGGATTGGGTGTGCCGCACAGAAATGTTGACAGAGCCCAAGGGTGACAACTTGGCAGGGGCGATTGAGGAGCTGGGCAAGTACACGTTAGATGTGCTCGGCTCCAAATCCTTGGTGCGCTTTCGCGCCACGGTTCAGGACGAGAAGGTGAGCAAGGATGATTTCGCAGCCCTCCCCGCAGCTTGTGACAGTTTGGTCTCCATGGTGGAACGCGTGCAGCTGGTGTGCAGTGCGAAGGTGCTGCATATGATCGCTTGTGGGGACATCAGCAACTTCGAGACGGTCTGCCTACCTAGAAGGCTTCAGCCCATTGCCCACGCCCTTCAGCTGGCAAGCTCTTCGGTTGCACCAAGCGGTTGGCGAGGGAGGGGCAGGGTCGATGGCCTTGTTATTTGTGATTTTGTTTGCTAGTATCTTAGGTCTTAGGGAAACATTTTGCACAGCAAGTATGCAGTATGAATGAATGATGGCAGGATGATCAGGATTCAGGGTGTTTCTGTTGGTTGTACCGGTACCTTTTTTTTGCCCTGCGCTTTCCAAGCGGCGCAGGCAACAGCTCATGGAACAAGCTGCAACCAATTGGACGGATTGACACTAGATTCACGACTGAGGCTTCTAACTTCTAATTTCTAATTCTAATCATTCAGGGTGGCCTTGTAGCTTGCAGGGCCACGGTTGCTCGCCTGTGCTGTCTAGGCAATTGGCCCACGGAGATCAAGTCCATCCAGGACAGCGGGGGCGATGACTTGGCCTTCTTCATTTCCAAGTTGCCTCTCTTCGAATCAGCTCACAGCGCCACCAACAGCGCTCTGATGCAAAAGGTGCAGAACGATGAAGTGCTACACGGCTGCTTGGACCAGTGCGTGACCTACAAGACAAACTTCATCAAGCTGCTCGGGAGGGCGATTGAGGTCACAGAAAAGAGCTTCCTGCCACCGATCAGCGCCTTTATGCAGAAATATGAGGCTGTGACTGAGGCTGTGCAAAAGTGGCAGCTGCAGCCAGTGGAATGGGTCTTCAAAGAGGAGGGAGAGGAACATGTGAAGCAGGATCTGGAGCGTTTCAGAGACGCCAGGCAATCTGCGTTGCAGCCTCCCTGCAGTGCGTTGGGGGATTTGGCGAAGCACGTGACGCAGTGCGACGATTTGAAGAAGCTCCTCACGGCAGCCGAACAAGGAAATGCGAAGATCACTTCCAGCTGTGCAGACGCTTCCCTCCTTGCCACGACCATCATGTTTACTCACCAAGCTCTCGTTGGTGAATCTGTGAGTTTTGACGAAGTGCAAGAACTCACTGCGGCAACCAAAGCTGATTTTGGCTTCGGGACGGAAGCCTTGCCAAGCAAGCTCTTGCAATTGCTGCCGACCAGCAAGGAGCCGGAGAAAAAAGACAAGGAGAGCAAGAGTGACAACAAGGGCAAGAAGAAGGAGAAGAAAAGCAAGAAGGAGGCAGAGCCAAAGCCTTCAAAGCGCAACTTGAGCCCAGACAACAAGGACAAGAAGAGTGGCAGGAAGTCTAAGAAGTAGCATGGACGCCATAGCAGCGCAGCTGCCGGAGCCTGATGGGAGAAAAAATGTTTCCTTGCAGCTGCGCATGCAGTAACTGGAAGAGTCATTGATTTGTGCTTGCTGCCCAAGTGTTTTGTGTTGCACAGCTGTTGACCCAACTCCAGCCATTGATCGCTTGTCAACGAGATGTGTACCCCTGATTCCGGACACTCATATTGAGACTTACTGACTTACTTGTTGAGGTGTGAGGTTAGCTGCCCAACTGGCCTTGTCTGACTCAGATGATTAATGAGCAAATCGCGTGCCGCATGCATGATGGTTTCTGATTGCCACGTGCGCAGGCAACAGCATGACCACTTCGGTGGCGGGGGCTGCGGTGATGGGCCTTCTGCTGTTTGCGCTTGGCCTGGGGCCAGAGGGGAAGCAGCTCGGACAAAGAATGGCAGTCTGGGACGCTGTGTTCAGTTGGAAGCAGTGGCGGAAGAGTTTTGTGAGTAACAGGTCTGTTGTTTTCTTTCCTTCTTTTGCGGGGGTGAGTTTTCTTGCAAGGCAGATCCTGCAGCGCAACCATGGCGTTGGCTGGACGTGGGTGGCATCAGACAATCAAGAGGGCTCTGATGCTGACTCAGCCTCAAGTGCTTCCTTGGCTTCCTTGTCCAGTTCCTCATCATCCCTTTTCCTCCAATCTGAAGCTTCGCCGAAAGTGGCAGACAAGCAGGCAGAGCAGTCCCCTGCTTCCGCGAGCTCAAGCTCAGAGGGGGAGTCTGAGAGCTCAACACTGTCGCTAGGCGCACTGCAGCGGTGAGATGTTAAGGCATGGTTTGGCATGGTTTGGCATGATTTAGGATGGATGCTTGAGAACTGCAGCTGATACTTGATGTGCTGAAGCACTAACTCACAGCTTGGAACTTAGGGCTGGCACCCTATGGTGACACACACACATGTTGCCGAACTGTGCCTTTCGCTGCTGTGTTGTAGGTTGCTAGGCCTGAGCAAGTTTTGGCAGAGCCAACTCGCAAAAAGAGAGCACGCAGTGTGCTGGGGAAGAGGGAGAGCTGTTTGGGAGGCTTAGGCCACGAAGACCTCGCAGAGCCCAGGTGTAGTGACATGGAGTCCCCCTTAAATTGCGGTTCCCTTTTGTGGACAGTCTCATTTGTAACTTGCATCACTTGAGTTTGTGAGAGAATGGCTTGCAACCTGGGAGCTTGGACATAATCTCAGACATGATTTCAGACACAACTCCAGACATGACATCAGACATCATAATTGCAGGACTTTCTTGGCACCGTAGAGGCCCACAGAGATAGAGACCAAGTTTTGAAATAATTTATATTTGCTCATTTTGAAAAAGTATTCATGACATTATCATCAAATGATGATGATAGTAATAGTGTAACATCAATGGAGATTTATGAACATGGTAATATGAGAGCACTTTTCATTTCGACCTACCTTCTTGTCCACGTTGCCATGGAACCCAGGGGTTCCCTTTTATAAAAATATGGCTGTGGGCCAAAAATAGGGGAACCCCAAAATGGGCTGCCCTGGTAAGTGGAAAGGCCCAAAACCTGCGGTCCGTATCCTGGTTTAATTTCGACCCGTGCCCATATGGTGATCAAAAGGTCCTCATGGGATGACCATTGGTTGGAAAGCCACCCAACAAGACTTGATATGTCAACTGTTAGCCAAGTTTCGCCACTAAGAGGGAAGAGTTACCAATGGTTATTTGGGGGCCAGGAATGTTCTTTGGTGCATTTCGCTTGGATGTTAGGACTTGAACTGTTTGCCAACCAATGAGTTTTCCATTAGATCATCACTGGAAAAGCGACCTTTTGGTTTTAAAGGGAATCTAGCACTACTGGCTGTTTTTTTTTTTGTTTTTCTCCGGTTGGCGAAAACGCAAATGGAGGTGGTCAAATGGGGAGGAATATTGATCAACGTCCCGGCTTCCAGTTTGGGGTTCCTTGGTGCCAGGCTCGTGGCTCAGCAGCCTGGAGCTGCTGCGAGAAGCGGCCTGGCGCGGCCTCGAGGATCGAACCTGAGCGGAGCGCAAGCGGAGTGACCGCCGCGAGACTCGGCGGTGGGCGGTTGGATCTTTAGACTTGAACTTTCGGGATTCGCCTCATGCTTTTATTTCTGTTTTTTGTTTGTCCTTTCTTTTTTTAGACCAGCGAAGAGTTGAGCTTTTTGCTGGGGGATCTACAGCTCACAAGAAGAGTTGGACAAAGGCCATTGATCTTAGGGCAAAGCGGTGACCCATGGACCATCTTCCGTGAGAATTGGGTACAAACCCAAAACCAGGGACCGCTCGTGAACTAGTTACTCCGCTTCGAAGGAAAAGGAGAGTCATTGGTCTGCCTACTTTAAAGGCAAGCTCACCGATTTGGGGGTAGAACGAGCTCACCATGACAAGGTTTTTTACTCGGGGATCCTTTAATTCAGCTTTTGGAGTTTTAATCACATGTGCAGATTGATCCTTAGTAACCCGAAACTTGCTGGTTCTCAGCAGATGAGTTGGAATGACACCTATAAATTCCATCCCCGATTTGGTTTCCTTTAAGACTTTAAGATAAGTCATTCCCAAAGTTTCAAAGCCCTGGGTCAGTCCGTACTGAGCACCAGCAAGTACAGAGGGCACCCTCGGAAAAAGGACACCATGTGTTTGTTCCAGTTTGGGTGTTGAAACACATACCCTCTCTCGCACTAGCGTGGCAACAGGAAACTCCCTCTAAGAGGACACTGATCTTGCAAGCCATGTGAGTGGGAGGAATGGTATTTAGTAATTTAGACTTGACCTCGTGGGTGGTCCATATTCATATGATGTCCCTTTGTTTGGGAGGTTGCAACACTTGTGAGAGCCAAGTGAATTTGCTCCTCAGGAACCCGCAAGAGGAGGGTACACGTTCAAGCGGGGTGATGTTTAATCAGGGAAATATAGGACGCCCCTGCATATATGGTCTCTAAACCAAATACCCCCTAGAAATAAGTGGTTTCAACTTGAACAATCATTGGACCCTGGGAATATGGGGACTGAGTTCCTGAGAGGACGTTTACAGGTTCCCAGTTGTTGTGTTGCTCTCTTTCTCTCGTTTGTTTGGTGGAATTTACCACTTGAAATTACACACACACACACCGCTAGGGCATTATTTGGCCTAAATTGGCGTTGACCTAAACACAGCTTATTAACTCCCCCCAACCCCCCCCCCCCCACCCAAAACACAGCTTATTAACCCTCCCCTGCCCCCCTTGTTTGTTTTTTGGGGGGTGAGGGAGGACGGGTCCCCAAAACGATGTCTGGCAGGCCAACGCCGTGTGCGTGGCCACCTCCATCCTGGCAGCAGCAGCGCACCACTGGGCCACCGCGCTCGCAGTGATGCTGCGATACGAAGCCCAAGGCCAAACTCCGCACTCCGCACTGCGCACAGGGAGGAGACTGGGTCCCCCACTAGTGCCCTTTGACCAACTTTTTTTGGGGGAGAGTTCCCCTACTAAAATAGACTACAGAAAAAAGGGTACCCTTATTCTAACCTCTCTACTGGAGGACCTAGGAGAGATGTTCATCTTCGCCTCAGTTCTTCAAAACCGAGCGAAAAAGCCTTTTATAGTGTTCCCCTTTGTGGCAACCAATCCATTTCTTTTGCTAGATGTCCCAAAAGGTGATCACCTGTTATTTCCAGGTCCTTTGGATAAGTGAGCAGCCTTCGTCAGATTCGTTTGGGCTGAATGCTGTGCGCCTTTGAGAATAAACATGACCTCTCCCCCAAAGCAACAACTTCATTGACAACGTGTGTTTTTCTCCGGGTTGCAGGGGTGTAGTTGGACCATCTAGTTGTGCTGGTGGTGTTGTTTGTTGCTGACAGGTTGAACAATTGGAGTATTTGGTGTGTGTGTGTGTGCCATCACACACCGAAAACAGTAGCTGGAAGGTGAATGATGATGTTAGTATGAAGCCACCGAACAGAGTCAACAGCCAATCAGCGACCTGGCTTGCAAAAAAGGCAGGTTTCACTCGGCTGATGCTTGGACGTTTTGGGGAAATCCCGAGATTGATTGCAGCCACTCTTACTTAAGAGCCCCGAAATCGGCCAAATGGTGTCCTAATGGGTCTCCCTTCAGCCCACCGAGGGGCACCAAGGCTTGCTCAAGGCACGCTGGGGTGTGCGTGTGTTGTTTTGAGGATAGCCTTGTTGGGGGTTGTTTATCAAATGAAAACCACGAGGAAAACTACGCATGTGGGGGGGGATCCCCTTTTTTGACACACACCCAAATGCGGTTGCTTCATTTGATGGGAATCCTCAAAATGTCGGTGGTTCCCTTCGGTTTCTTTTTCAATCAACCCCCAAGAGGGTACCTCAAACATAGACCCCAGTGGAGGCAAGGTCATGCGGGCAAGCTATAGACCAAAGAAGCGACCCATAGCGACCGAAAGGTTTTGGATTGCCTGAATGCTCCTTTCATAGGGGCTCCACGTTTGAAGTTTGCAAATTATAGTATCTTGCCCCCCATGTCCATCAATCTATTTCCGGTTTAGTCCCCGCCCGAACCCGTTTTTTGTTGGCCGTTCATTCCCTGTCTTTCCTCATCTTTTGAACTCTCAATATCCATGATATCCATGCATGTGCTATATACTAGTAGCCCCACGTTGGCCATTTCCAAGTTTCCTTCCATCTCCTGTCTTGCTTCATTCACCTTTACCATCAAGCCCAACAAACCATCATGTTTAGAGGACTTCCCCAGAAAAGGGGCAACCGTTTTGGGCCCCCATGTCAATTTGCAGAAGCACCGCATTTCTTTTTACATGTGTGGGGTTTGCGGGCTGTCAAGAACAGGGGAAGTAAGTGATACCGCCTCCAAAAGGCACTAAGGTCCAAAACCATATCACATGTGGAGGTTTGGGGTTGTCAGGAAGAGGGTCCCTTTTTGGTATCCCCTCGACACGGGCGGCACAAAGCAGCATCTCCTGTCCATTTTGTTTCATGTCCCTTCCCTTTCCTTTCCATTTACTTTCCATTTCCCTTCCATAACTCCCCATGTTCCCGGAGAGGCGTGAGGTGCGATGTGGAGACCTATGCCGCGGTGCTGATGGCGCCGCGTGCTGCAAAGAGTCTAAGGGGGTGGGGGCCTGGAAGATGAGGATGGGGAGTGGAACTTCACTGTTGGCAAGTGGTTGGTGGTTTTTTGGTTTGGCTCTGTTCATTGTTTCGTAGGGGGCTGCAAAAAGCACGGTGTTTTTGTTTTGCTACCGTAGCTTTGGGTTGTAAAGGGAAGTATCCCTTGTTTTCCCTGTTCTCAACCAGGAGTAAAGAACAAAGGCAACTCACTCTTATGTTTTTTTGGTGTGACCGAATCGCCCCTCAGATTCGTTGTTTCTCTGGGAAAAGGTCTTGCCCTTTTGTGAGCAGCCGGGTGCGATCCAGAGCCAGAATTGTTACACTCACCCAAAGGGAAACAACAGGGCATGCGTTGTCTTTCCCCAGACCCCGTATTTAGAACGTAGAAGCCCACAGTCACGGCTAGGAATAGTAATAGTAGGCCCCTTGTTCCACCAGACCACATCCGAGACCCCTTTGATCAGAGGTGCCGGATTCGACTTCCGGTAGGATCCTTCGGCAAGGAGTTTGTCATTGAAGTGCACAACATGATGCTGCACAAAATAACACCTCTGCACATCCTGGCTCGCTTGAGACAGGGTGCCACAACCAAGTATTGGCCTTCCAAATGGGACTCGGGAGCCCCGTTTGGGTGCTACAGAAAACCGGGAAGGAAACCGTTGCCAAAGTAAAACCGGGAAGGAAACCGTTGCCAAAGGGACCCTGAGACATGCTAGTTGGTAACAAATAAGGAGAAGGGAAGGCGAACCCGAAACTGGGGATGTGCCTTAGTTTGAATAGAACACCAGCAAACCCTTGATTTGGAAGGTGGCGTACTTGGGAATCCCAATCACATGGGAATGCAGTGGAATGAATGTGGTTGTTTGCTTTGAGCAACCTCTTTCTCTTACGCTAGGTTTCTTCAAGTGCACCGTGATTATCAGGTATGATCCCCAGAGGCTCCAAACAATCAATATGCCATTTGAAACCCGACTTTGAGACTTTTGCGCCGTTGGTGGTTCATGTGTTTCCTTGCTTGGTGCCTGCCACCTACATTTTGAACAACGAAGCCTGCGTGGGGGCTTTTGGGTCAACGTTTGGGAGCATCTTACACGGTTGCGCTTGATACAAATGATGACCAACGAAGACATTTCAAGCTGATAGATTTTACGCCGTGAGTGTTTGTGTTGACCAACTCAAAAACTTTGCCAGTTGTTTCTTGGCGGTGTCGGCTCCTTGTTGACGGACTTGCACTGTTGCTCTTTGCTCTTGTCCTTTGATGCCTTGACTCGGATGACTCGGTCGATGACTCGATGACTCGCTGGATCCAAGGAATGCGAGCACAGGGCCCCTCCCGAAGTGGAGGAGGAGTTGCTGCGCTTGGCGACAGAAAGCGGGCGATGGAAAAGCCTCTGGCCATCCGGCTGACACGGCCTCGGGCAATCCACAACCAGATGGCCTTTGGGGACTTTCCATTGGCGCATTTTGTTTGGATGTTAGGACTTCAACTTTTCGCCAACTAAGGGGTTTTCCATGAAACCGCTAAAAGTGAACAACTTTTAGCAGGGGAGCAGAATTCGCAACTGTCAAGCTTCCTGTTGAGGGACAGGGACTCCGGCCATGGATTTGGGGGTTATCACCCGCGGTGTCGCATTTGCGTCCCAGGTTGGGTGAACGACGAACTGTTTCCTTAAGGACAGTTTCCCTTCAAACCGACCAACAGGCGTCCATGCCCACAGCCATCTATCCTTGCGATGTTAAGCGGGTGCCTTCAGAAATTTGGGGTTTCTTTTCGCGCACAGATGGGCCTCCCCACCCATATTGAATATGAGTGGTCGTGCCTCACGTGTGACTCGGGCAACGTGTCTGATGTCATCGCGTTATGCCGGCAGACTGCCCTCCAGAGGGACTTGTGCCAAAATAAAGAAGATTATCTTACAGGGCCCTGAGCAAAAGGGACCGCTTGTAGGGATGCTTGACATTTCCGTGTCGAGCAACACGTCACGACATTGGCAAATTGGTGCATGTGAAGCATATGTGTATCAGCACATAGCATGTGTTGCATCTATGGCATACGTGTTCACCTGGTAAAATGGCTCACCCACGAAGGTCCCTGCCTAGGGATTTCTTGTTCCGGGTTGTGAATGCTACTGGGCTGCCCCAGTAGTGCCCTTTTACCCTTTTTTGGGGGAGGGTTCCCCTACTAAGATAGACTACAAGAAAAGGTTATCTTTATTCTAACCTCTCTACTGGAGGACTTAGGCTAGTACGTTCCGTGGATCTGTGCCGTGCAAGAGTTTGAAGTTAGGAAGTCACCGTGGCTCAAAGTTTGCCCTGCGGCGCCATCCTCTGGCTTAAAACCGGGCGAAGAAATGATCGAAGTTGATGTTTTGCAACGCCATGTTCGCCACGGATCCTTCCGATCTCGAGGAATCCGGCAGATTTGATACCTGACACTGCTATTGTGTTTGCGAAGTTTTTTCGTATCTTCGCGGCGCGATGGAGATCGCGTTCTCAGTGGGCCAGCTGTCGCGGCCTCAGGGAAACCCGCTTGCAGATTGCAAACCTCGCAAGGGCATTTAATGGTTTGCGACCTCACCCATCAGGAAGGTTCCTCGATATTCCTCGACAATGCTGACTATCATTGGGGACGATGCCATAGGGCAACCATCAACCATCCTAACCAACCAACGTTACGCAGCTCAACCGGAGCCGCAGGCATCCTTGTTCCGCTTCAGTGATGCCTTTGCCTTTCTTTTGGGGCAAGCTTGCGCGTTCCCCAAGGGTCAGCAGCCACTAAATACGGTGGATGGACGAAATGCAGCACTTTGTTGAATCCATGGGAAATCATTGTTTGTTGGTATTTGGGGGGAATCATCAGAAATAGCGTTTCTTAGGTGGTGCAGTCTTTCGTCCATCCACAGTAGTGCCCCCCAAGATCCATGGGCCAACCCCTCGGCAGCCATCCGTTCTGCTGCCATTTGCAGACTGCGGCAGCCATCAACGCCCAGCTGTAGTTCCAGGCAGGGTTCGGAGGGAAGTTGTTGTAGCCAGCTGCAACATTGACCCCCAGCGGTCGACATGTTTTGTTTTGTCTTTTTTCCTTTCCCGTTTTGTGTTGTTCCATAGTTAAGGGGACCCTGACAGTTCCGGAAAGTGGATCATTAGTTGAAAAGGGGAGGCCTTTTTTCTAGGGGTAGGCGCCTTCTTGTTGTATTCGGAGGGTTCGCCCCATCCGAATGCCCGGCAGAAACAAGCTTGTGAGTTCATACACCCCATTTCTCCAGAAGGTATCACTAAAAGTGGTCAAGAGAGAGAGTTGTTCAGTTGAACTTCATGAGGGGTGAAGTTGTTCGCAATGTGGCGCGGCTTGCATTCTTGACACGTGGTTAGACGCAAAACCAAACCATCACAAAAAAGAGGTTTTATTTCTTACTTTGTTTATTACTTCCTTTCTTCCTTTCTGTCTTTCTTTATTTCTTTCTTTTTGTCTTTCTTTCTTTCTTTCTTTCTTTCCGGCTCTGAAGGGAGTCTATTGATTTGTGCATGCGGAAACTTGTAAGAAACACCAACCCGCCTTGTGAATTGAACCATGTTTATCGAAGATCGAACTTTTACCACTATTGTCTAACACCATTACATGTTTGTTTACGACGGTTATCATATTTGTTACAGTTCATATCACTAAAGTCGCGAAGCCATTGCTCATGTGATTGTTCTTTGCAAATATGTGTTTCAATACAGTATACAGTATATGTATGTTATCTATATGATTGAAACATAACATGCTAGACTCAGTCAATTCACGTGTAGCTCTACAGCGTTAGTCGCATTTGTATCATGTCTGACATATATTGGGACCTATGTTGGTGGGCGAAGCTGTTGACATTCCTGGCCATCGCCAGGCCCCGTTCCCAGCCTTTGGCTGTGGGTTACGGAAGCCCCGTTTCGGCGTCCGACGGCCCAGACATTTTCTTGCGGTTTCATGGATGTCAACCTGTCAAGAAAAAACACTGAGAACCAATGCAGACATTGGATAGGGATCGACTTTCGCCGGTTCCCGAGGGCTAAGTCATACAACCATCTCGGTGAGAACGCCCGTTTTGGGTCAATGGAAACCAGCAAACAAAACTTGGAGGAGTTCCCATCTACAGAAAACAGGCGAACCTACAATGTCTAAATTGGTCCCCAACTCACCGCCCAATGGTTGGAACAAATCCATATGTGTCTGGCATACAGACACATGGCCTACCAGCTGTCATTGATGTTCAGTGGCAGACTGTCGCGTCCGGCGGCCAACTCAGGTAGGCCTGTCAGGATGTTCCGAGTTGCGCAGATACGTTTCTTCTCTTCGGATACTTAAACAAATCACATTCGATGATTTCCGCGACAAGAACATCTAAAGGACGTCAGCCAAAGCAAAACAGGGTATCAAGTCTAAAAACACAGCGCACCCCTGTCTTTCTCAACTCCCAGTCGCTTTGTAAAACATGGGTTGTGTCAAGATTGTCGAGCTACTCGGTCAGTCCTAATGCTACATCAGCGCTTCGCGACATAACGGTAGGCAGCACCACCCAAATGGATTTTTCTCCAAAGTGGCTGTATCCCTTTGCAAAAGAAGCAGGCTAGTTGGATCTTGTCCGATTTTACAGCTTGTTTGGGAAGGCGAGCAGGGCCGGACTTAGCATCCCTTGTGGTTTGTCGGATGGGTATCTTCCGTGTTAGGTTTTCTTAGCAGGTCCCACATGGAATGCAATTCACACGTTCAGCTGTGTGACCACATGGACCGTTGTTTCTGTGTTTTCTGCTTAAAGCATGGCCGAAAGGCCGTGCATGGAGGTCAGTCCATGTTTTTGTGTTTCCCCTAGAAGGAAAACCACACGTTAGCCGCATATTGCGTACCTGGGACAATTTGTTTGGCCATCTCATTCTAGGTACCAACTGACCCAACGACTCTTCTATAATCTTGCCATGTCTGTTTTCAACACCAATTCGCCTGCAAATCAAAATGGGTTCCCCAAAAATGGGGTCCCCCCCCCCAAGCAAAAGAGTTCCCGTAATGGATGTGTTGTTGGGTTCCATGATATTTTGGGAAAACATCAATTCTCACAGCTGTTTGAGGCTGTTGGCCGTCGCGGTGGTGCAGGTGTCAAGACGAGGCCCTTGGGACACTGTCAGCTATTGATTGGATAAGTCCAAGGATGGTTCTATTCTTATTTGAGCAGCGCCCAAAATTCCCATAGGCCATTTGAGTACAGTAGGTGGTTCTACTACTTCGTTTGATAGAGAGCATAGTAAGCCCCATGTAAACAATTGCTGCCATCTTGGTACAAGCACATTTCACTTGGTTTCGGGCACTGTTCACTTGGGTATGTGCCAAAGTAGAGGGGATCCCATCGATGCCAACCTGCACAGTTGGAAAACACTCCCAAAAGGCCGACATGGGCACCTTTTGGTTTACTGCATTTGGCAATCATTTGCAGTCAAGGTAAGGTAAGGTAAGGTGGCCCAAAGACAACTGAGTCCTCCCCCAATGAGAAGACGACAGTTGCATTCAAGCCAGACAGCAAGCTAGGCTTGTTGGCTGAAACTTGACATGCCAGCAGCGACATAGCACGGGTCTTTCACCGGCCACCGTATATGCTTGGCATGGTTCTGTCAATTTCTGCGACTCGCATTCGCTTGAGCGACCTGCGTGTGAAAAATTGCCTTAAGGCAACTGCCGACAAACACTTGAGAAGCGTGCCACACGCGAGGGTCCCCAAAAAGCAGGCAAAGGAAACCGTTTGGATCACAGCTGCTGCAGCGGCCACTGTGTGGCGACACACCCTCCCAACATGTGCAGCACTGGAACGTCATCTTCGCCACAGGCTGGGCAGGTAAGTCGCCCAGGCAGCTCTTGTATGCCGAGTAGCGGTAGAGGCCCAAGCGGTTCACCTTTTGGACATTTTAAGCATTACGTGGTACCCGAGAATTGTTTTGGTGTGATTCTTCAGGGACAAGCAGGGATACGCCTTTGGCGGCGTTGGCTGTCTCAAAAGTGAGTATGGACATGGGAGTCGACATTTTCGACGTTGGGTCTACCCTGGAATCAAGCAAGGACCCGGGCGAGTCCCAATCATTGTCATTAGGGGTCGCTATACTTCCCTGTGCCCGTGTAAACATCACCTTTCAGTTGCCACCCTAAGATGAGTTGCCTTGGAAGGTGCTTAAGAAGAAATATAGGTTGTTGCCGCAGGACACTTCGAGCACTTTATATCAGCCGCAAGAACATGGTGGCCACATCTCTGAAAATCCCTACAACTACCACTAAAGCTTTCCTGTATTCTTTCAGGCTTGGGTGAGCGACCTTTCAAGGGCAGAAGCGTCTCTCGGCCTGTTGATTCTGTGGCAAAGATCCGATCCCCTTGGCAGGCCGCGTCACTCGCTTGGCCACCAGGCAGCAGCCTGTGCCACAGATCCGAACGAAGCAAACGAGAGATGGCTATGGGTCAAAACCAATGGTACCATTTTGAGGTAGGTGCACCAATCATTTTAGAACCTATTTTAGTAGTTGGATTGGGATGTTCACTGGGATTACGATTTGGATTTTGACCCATGGCCAGATGAGTCGGGCAGATGAGGCTGCAACTTCCCCATCTTCGCCTCTAAAATGGGACACCTCCTATCAACCAAGCGCAGAATCATTCGGGGGATGGTTCTTCCAAGAGTGATCCAGATCCGATGAAGATCAACCGCCATGTTGGGTTCAACTGGGTTCCGTTTTGTGGTAAGTTCGTTTCATTTGATGCCCGACTAGTGAGAAGATTCAGTTGTGGGTAGTGAAGTAGATATCTTGAGAAAATTCAATCCTGCAGAAGTGACGGCTGCCAAGGGGCAGTCTTCCCCTTGCCATAGACAGATAGCTGAGGCTGTCCGCGCGTTTGATGCTTCACATCGTGTTGAGTAGACTTTTTCAGTATCGAGTTCTGTCTTCTATGGGTATGTGTCAAAACAACTTGTATCTCTTTTGGGCCTAATCTGTTGAAGAAGGCAGCACCGTCTAATATTGCTTGTCATCTACGGTAGAACATTCACACGCCGCCTGTTTCACTGCTCCCATGGAATTTCTGTCTAAATCAGAGACTCATTTGTTGACTGCAGGGTAGATTTAAACAGGGAGGTTCCCTGGGAATTCGGCCAACCCTGGGTTTAAGTCTACCCTGGAATAGCAAAACAAATGAGACCCTGCACCCAACTGAATAGTAGTCGTGTCGGGAAGAACCTAGCATGCAACCACTCGGAGAGGTGCTACTGTGGATGGACAAAATCCTGCACCACTTTGCAACCTTGGGGAGCCATTGTTTGTTGGTATTTGCACGGGAATCATCAGAAACCGGGGTTTTCCGGTGGTGCGAAATGGAGTTCGTCCATCCACAGTATGATAGTTACATGCCCACATCTTCGGCAAGGAGTTCTGGAGATTGCATGTTTTGATCTGTTCTACCGCCGAGTGTTTAATGGCTTAAGGTCATCCGTGTCACCGAAGCCTGCAAGCGATCAGGATCCAAAAGCTGCATCGGGTACTCCAAGATTGCAACTCGCTACTGACAAGATCCGACTCAAACATTTTGCCCCGTTATTCATCGCAGGGTTTCATCAACTGTCACATTTGTTGGTCTCGGCAAGACGCCCCTGCAATCAGCACATGCAAAGTCGGCCAATTTTCGTTGATGGCCAATGTCAAGGACGGGCATAGCGCGAATCCGATTCTCAAACGGCCCCGAAATGGTCGAAGGATGTTTTGTTGGCAATGGATACACTTTGGGGTTGGTTCAATCGGAAAACCATGAGGAAACCAGCTCTTTTGGGGGTGTTTTTGGTAATGGATCCTTTGCTGGGTTTGTTCAAAGAGAAACAAAATGGAAACCAGCAGGTTCCTGGGGGTGTTTCTTGGTAATGGATACCTTTTTGGTTGGTTCAAAGTCAACCTTCCATTGTTATATATATATATATAGCAACCCCCCCCCCCAAAAAAAAACCCAGGTTTTGAACCTGGACAATTGCCAAAATCACTAGGAAAAATGCTACTTTTGAGAAACATGTGTATTTTCGCCTCTGCGAAACGCATATTTTTAAAGTTCAAGGCAAGTTCAATTAGTTAGTCAAACAACCAGTCAGCAAGTCAGCTAAATAGTTAGTTAAATAGTTGTAATGAATGAGCTCTGAAGCCAGTTAGCTAGTTAATTGGATATATATATATATATATTATATATTTGTACAGTGATCCAAAAAGTGTTTGTTGCCCAAACAACGCTCGTTTGATGAACATGGGCTTCTTGCAAAATACCAAGTGTCACATGATTTGGATTTGCGCTCGTTTTGTGGGTATGTGCGCCCGTTTTGCGTGTATTTGCGCCCGTTTTGCGGGTATTTGCGCCCATTTTGCGGGTATGTGTCCACCTGTTTCCACGCAACAACTATGTGAGAAGAGAGAAGCCAGAAATGCCCTCGATTCCAAAGTTGCGCCCAGAAAAAAAACGCGATGAGCAAATTTCTGCTGCGAAACATCCAAGGCACACACATTGATATAACGAATGCCAAAATGAACCGAGCCTTCTTTTGTTGGGGGGGGCCTCCCCGATTTTGAGACAAACCCATCTCCAATTTTGAACAGATTGAAGTGATGTACTGCTTGGTTTTCTCAGGGATCTGGACAGCTACAACTTGGCAAGATGCCCAAACCCGTCTCGAGCTGCTACAGAAGCCCTGGAAACAGACAGCTGCTTTTTGGCTTATAGGTTATGTGACATATGTGTCCCTGCATGTCTGACATTGGGCTGTCAAGTTTTCGTGGACCTTGAGGCTTGGTTTTAGCTTATGTGACAAATGGGTGTGGGTCAAAACCCTGCCCGTTTTTGGGCAACTCACCCTTCTGTGTGGCTCATTTTGCATGGGAATCCTGGAGGGTAGGAGCTGTAGGGGAGTATCAGGGTTTTGACCCACAGCCATACGTGTCCCTCTCTGACCTTGGGCGGTCAAGCTTCTGCTTTCGAAGTCGTGTTCAACCTCACCTTGCGCTTCGCCAGGTTGAGCGCCCGCATTTCCCGAATTTGGTTCGTGTTCAAGGGGCATATCGTGACCGGTTTTTGAGGGCCACCGTTTTGAGGCTGGCGGAAACGGACACCAAAGAAGAAGGACCCGTTTCTATGGGTACGCCTGTGTGCGGACAAAGCCATTTCTCGATTCGACTTTGCACTTTTTGGGAAGGCCACTGCACTGGACGCAGAGCCTACATTTGTTTAATTGACCCAAAGAAAAAGCAAATAGTAGTTTTTCCACCCTACTTAGCATCCACCTAAGTGTCAAATCGCAAGGTTTCACCGTGGTTTCGACACGAGACACTTGCAGGCCAAAGCTTTCAGGGCTTGTTCAGTATTGTCATTCCTCCGGTCCCAGACCTCTTCACCGAGAAAACTCAGCTCGACCGTGGGAGTGAGGGAAAGGGATAGACTGAGAGTCGCAAAACAATCGGTTTGCACATGGAGCCCTGGTGGATTTCTCACTTTCAATGGAAATCTGGAAAATCGCCAGAGGTGAAGCGTGCCAACCGTACAAATTGGATATGCTAACTGATAGTTTCCAAAATATTGGGGGAGGGGGGGGGGTTCTCAAAATAGTGTTTTTCGTTTCAACGGTTTCTCAACTAGGTCCCCCAGTAGTGCCCTTTTATCCTTTCCTTTTTGGTTGGCAGGGCTCCCCTACTAACATTGACTACAGAAAAACAATAGGGTACTAACTTATTCTAACCTCTCAAATCTGGAGGACCTAGTCAAGCAAAAACATGCAGCAACCAACCACGGGGTCACCTTGGCTTGCAGAACTCAGTTGCCCAAAACCGACCTTTTGACCTTTTGGTTTTCCCGTTTTGTTTCTTTTAGTGGAGGTGCCAAAAGGTTGACCTTGTATTTCTGGGTCCTTTGGGCAAGAGAGAAGCTCCGCTTTCGCCAGGAGCTCCAGATGCCGAGCAAAGTTTCTCAGCGGGTGCAGGCGCTCCTCAAGGCGCGTTGGTTTGGCGCGTTTCGGCGGCCGAAGATTTGATGGGTCTGGGTGAATTATGGACCGACCTCACACGACCGAATTCACCCCAAATAGTGGTTTACGTGGGGAATAGCCCCCCAACCACCTTATTTCCGGTGGGTGAAATACTACAATTCACCTAGATGGGTGACGTCTTGGACTCGTCGTTTTGCCCCGTGGATTCTGCCCCTTTTCTCTTTTTTTTGGGGAAGGGCTCCCCTTGAAACTCAACCAACCAAAGAAGGATGCGAGTTTTTTTTTCCATGGCCATTGGGCATGTGAGGACTCCTCGTTTTGGTCTTGGCCTTTTGGGTTTTGGCGCATGTTGCTCGTTGCTCAGCATATGCATTTAGTTTGTTGGGTGGTCCTTGTCTTTTTTCTCCGCGCGAGTGGTTTCATGCCCATTTTTATGTGTCATCCATCGGTGCAGAAGTGTGTCCATCCACAGGAATATTCAACTGATGGCATTTGAACCATGGTAAGGGTTGTTAAGGGGGCCATACAGCCCGCCTAAGGGGTCAACCGGCATGGCGCATATGGTGTCTGACTTTTTTTGGAGGCTAGTCACACTCTTGTCGTGCTTCGTTTAAAGGGACACCAAAGGAAACCGAAGCCCGTTTTGGAGGTCCCCCGATTTTGACACAGACACTAGTATTAAAACCAGGATTCCATTTGTTTACCACCGAACGGTAGGCGTAAACCCAGGAGTTCTCCTTCGGAATTGAACCGCTGGAGTTAAGTCTTACCTTGATGACCTCTAGACGGCACCCTGAGTAGAACCTGGAACACTAGGATCGAAAATCTTATGAGTTGTTTTTGCGTTTCGAGCAACCCAAGAGACCAACACTTCTCACTGTTCTTGGCATGTGGTTTGGTGTTTGCTTTTGTTTTTTTCTGTTCATTTTAGTAGTGGGCTGCAAAAAGGCAAAGCCTGCCTTTTCTCAGAACTAAGTAACGAATCGAGATGTGGGGGCGGGGTCTGTGCTGAAGCCTGGGCCATCTGTTTCCAGTGATTCTGGCACGCCTGGGCTCAAGACGACACTAGCCTGTGAAGTTGTTTTCCGTGTTTTGCTGGGGTGGGAAAGAGAAGTGGGAAGAATGGTGGCCACTGCCCCATTCTTCCACCATGGGCCCATGATCTTGATCTTGGTGTGATGACTTTTGTTTCGTGTGATGCTGTCTGATGTTTGTTGCTTTTGTTTGGGGGCTCCCTCACCAACACCCTCATAGGATTGGGGAACCGCGTCAAGAGGTTCCAGAAATTCCAGAAGCTTGTGTTCGCGCATACTGTGTTGCTTTTCATTAGACCTCAACCGACCGATCCAATCGCACAACTCGCAGACAGCTTTCCCTTTGTGTATCTTGCAGATTGTCTTCATGTTGCTT